CTTCCCCACACCGTCTCATGATAACAATAATCACCCGCATTCCATAGTAACCAATGGCAACCAACATACTGAAATCCATCAACCAATCAGACGTTTCCACAGACTTCAACAGCGTCAACAACAGCGCGAAAATTCAAATGATCAAACTTTCTGATGAAGACTCGAAGTACCGAGTCGAAAGCTCAAAACAAATAATTACAATCCGGAGAACACTGTATAATTTTGTAAAAATTATAAGTTAATAAAATGCCTGGATTACAAATCTTCAAATCTATTATATATATATATGTATATATATATATATATATATATATATATATATATATATATATATATATATATATATATATATATATATATATATATATATATATATATATATATATATAATAATTTCGCTTTCCTCAAAATACCACAACAGTCTGTTTCATCTGTAAAGAATCATCGAGCGGTATGACAACTTCAAAAAAGGGCTACTTATATGTGTTTTTGCCAGAACGTGGGAGTGGGTGGGTTAATAAAGCATATATTCAATCTATTGTTTGCGTTGTTTACGCGGAAATTCCTGATCTAAAAGTGGGAGTGTGTGGATTACTAAGTATTGTTTGCGTTGTTTTCCTTGACACTGTGAAGGAAGACCTGGTTTGTACAATCGTTTAAAGAACAATCCAGTAATATACGCATGGGAATGCTCTGATGAAGTTTAAAGATGCAACACTTTCAAGCCAAAACATTAGAACAACCATCCCTTGTGGATTGGGTGTCATAACCGAGCTGTACAAGGAGGGTATGTTTTTGCCCCTTTTCGTGGGCACTGAATGCAGGAATTTGGTAGACTATCACCAAAGTGATTGCGTATTTACCTTAGTTACTTTTTGCTCAACATTATGTGATTTTAATTATTTGAGCAGATATATAACCGCCTGCACATCATGTCCTAGAAGTTATAGAGCATATATTTATGACTCGATCTGGAGCCATTATCCATTATCCACTTTTCAGTCTCCAATTCAATCCATGCAGAGTTTTGGGAATTGCAATGAAAATAAAGTTCCTCCCATTTTGAAGAGGAATTGAATATATTTCAAAACCTTTCTAATTTACAGATTTTCGATGTCGTTCTTCATTGTATAAAAGATATTACAACAAAATCATAGTGCATTCCGCCATTTTGCATAAGCATATCCATCGTTGGAAATGCGTGACGTCACAACCAGGGTAAGATTTTGTATCGTGAGCAATTCTCGGGTAATTTTAATGATTAACGATTCTATATTTTACTAATATTGCATATTTTAAAATTAAAGCACAAGCTATATGCATGAACTTGCAACCATTAATATTACGTTTGTGATGGTAGTCTGAGTGTGCATCCACACCGGGCCAGCTGAAAATTTAATTGCTTGGCCACGGTGAGAATCGAACCCGTGAGTTCAATATCATCACTCGAACTCGAACCGACTTGACCGCGTAGCTCAGTTGGCAGAGCATTGGAGTAGTATCACAAAGGCCGCGGGTTCGATTCCCACAGTGGCCAAGCAATTAACTTTTCAGCTTGCCCGGTGTGAATGTACACTCAGAGTAACATCACAAACATCATATTCACATGAGTACATAATACCAACAGACACAAATATATTAATACTTTTCCATTTTTAAAATGTCTATCCTGGTTGTGACGTCATTTAATTAGATCTAATTATACAAGGAATGGCAGGATATTCAGGTTTCAAATATCTAAAAAAACGGGATAGTTTTGGAGTATTTGTAAAAAGGATTTATAATGGTCTTACCATTCTTTTAGATTAGAATATAATTTTGGTTGCCATTTCCCTTTAAACCACTACTTGCGATAGAACGATTCTCTTTTGCAAGCAATGCCAGATCCTAGCCAACTAATCTGACATGTATTTGGACAAATAATACCTGGTGCTTGCTTGGGATATATCATATACATATGCAACATGCTGGCTATATTTGCCATGTTGCCCATGTTTAATTTTAAAGGGAGAATTAAAA